AGATGCTTGGAGCTAGCATGAATCGTGAGGAGTATGAAATATTAACTTCTATAACATTCCCCACCCCACCCCTGCAATTATTTATCAAGTCTAAAATCGGCAATGTGGTTTCCTTATAGTTGCATAGCGTTTTGTGCGCTGCAGGCGATGAGTCACAATAACGTGGCTGAAGTATGTTGGCCAGACCACACACTAGAAAGTGAAAGGACGTCGACGTTTCGGACCGTCCTGGTCCATTCTCAAAAAATATCGACATGAGAATGGTCCAGGACGTACCGAAACGTCGTCGCCCCTTTACTTTTTAAGTGTTTTGTAATAGATTCAATGTTCTGAGAGGGAAAGAGAATTAAAAAGAAGTGGGGGGGGGGGCGGAGAGTGAGAGTATGATTCGGGGGAGAGGGGTGAAGCAAGAGGAGAGGGGAGAAATTTTGGAAGAGGGGAAAGGAGAGAGAGGTGAGAGAATCTCATATACAGATACAGATGTTTATACTTTGAGAATGTCTGTCTGTCTTGCCAAAGTTGGTGGCTTTGAGATAGCCTTGTCCAAATTTGCAAAAGGAATGGTCTTGAGTATGGGACGGACAAGGATATACTTCGACCTGTATTAGCTAAATATTTTAAGAAACTTCAACAATTATAGAAACCTCGCATGCAATTTTCGTTGTGACAATTGTAAACTATGCAGTGTGATTCCCCTAGAGTCTTTAGTATATTTTTAAGTTACACATGCATTCAAATTTAGTAATAAATTTTCGGAGAGAATTTATTACCCTCCACTGAGAATTCAGTGGAGGGAAAGGTGGGAGGGGGGGGGGAGAAAATGGAGAGGTTGAGAGTAGGAATGAAAGGAGGGAACAAGGGACTCGGTACGAGGTAGGATCAAAGAGGAGATGGGGTGGAGGTAGGGAAGAGGGGGGAAAGAGACCTGAGTGCAGCCGGGTACACATTCCATATTAATAAATGAAAGTGTGTGTTCGAGGTGGAGGGGAGAGTAGGAAAGAGTGGGGAGAAAAAAGAAAACGAGGAAGATAAGAGGGAAGAGGGACGAAAGTGGTAGAGGGGGGAAAGAAAGTGTATGTGAGGTGAGGGGGAAACAAGAGGGGTGGAATGTGGGGTCGGGGGAGAGAGAGGCTATCCCGGACACGGCCGGGTACCCCTTTTGTGTATTCAAATTATATATTAGTATATTTTGATAGCAGTCTTGTAAACATTTGTTGAATATGACCGAAAGGGTAAAATTAATGATTCTAATACGAATCTTCTCAATATGTCTTATGTTTTTATTCACTGTCGAGGCTAGTTTAAAAATTTAACTCCCCAAAGTTCATTTTCACACTTTATTTATGGTCTGACGCCTAGAAGCATTTCCCAAGACACTTCTTACAATTTCAAAGACAATTTTACATACGCTGTCAATGCTTATATTCGCTTGGGGTGAGGGAATACAGGACATGACTGAGATGAACAAATGAATCAATGGGTACACCATTGCATGTTCTATCTTCTTGCTTCTGTGTTGGTTCGGAGTCGTAAAGTGAGTAGAATGTAATTGTGTGTTAATTGTTTGTTCGTTTTGATTTTTTGATGTGTTGGGCCTCGCTGAAGTCGAGTCTCCTGTTGTCGTCGTTGTATCTGTCGATAATTTCTGTGCTGCTTGATGATACAAGACAATCATGTCCAGTATCACCTCACTCCAAGCGAATATAAGCATTGACAGTGAATGTAAAATTGTCTTTAAAAAGTAAGAAGTGTCTTGCGAAACGTTTCTACGCGTCAGACCATAAATAAAATGTGAATATGAACGTTGGAGAGTTAATTTCTCAACTAGCCTCGACAGTGAAGTAAAACATAAGAAATATTGAGAAAATTCGTGTTAGAATCATTATTATCACACACACACATATATATATATATATATATATATATATATATATATATATATATATATATATATATATATATATATATATATATATATATATATATATATATGTCGTACCTAGTAGCCAGAACTCACTTTTCAGCCTACAATGCAAGGCCCGATTTGCCTAATAAGCCAAGTTTTCATGAATTAATATATTTTCTCTAATTTTTTTCTTATGAAATGATAAAGCAACCCATTTCATTATGTAAGAGGTCAATTTTTTTTAATTGGAGTTAAAATTAACGTAGAAATATGACCGAACCTAACCAACCCTACCTAACCTAACCTAACCTATCTTTATAGGTTAGGTTCGGTTAGGTAGCCGAAAAAGTTAGGTTAGGTTAGGTAGGTTAGGTAGTCGAAAAACAATTAATTCATGAAAACTTGGCTTATTAGGCAAATCGGGCCTTGCATAGTATGCTCAGAAGTGAGTTCTGGCTACTAGGTACGACATATATATATATATATATATATTTTATTTATATATATATATATATATATATATATATATATATATATATATATATATATATATATATATATATATATATATATATATATATATATATATTTGTGAGTGTACCACCTCTGGTGCATTTGTAAGGACTAATAGCCTCGGAGAAGAAAATAAAGAGTATTCAGGGTAGTTATTTATTTATTTCCTCTGAATTTGACACAGAAGCGCTGGAACAAAACTCTTGGCGACTTTTGCTACCTCATGTTTGCTAAAACAGCTCCTCTCTCAGATTCGTGTGAAAATTAAGTGCACATTCAACGCAGAATCAAGTGTCTCTGATCCTATTGACACGAACGTGTTACAATGCCCTAAGCCCCTCTACTTATTGATTTTCTGAGTCTCCTTCAAGGTGACGTCCCAACTACCTTCAGATACACAGTTCTGTTGATATATATTAATCAATGTAGTTGCAAAATTGCAATCCCTGACATCCTGTTTACCATCCCTCCAAGATTGCCGTGTCCTTCATCTGATCCGTTTCCACTGCCTCATTTCTGAATATATGGAGTTTTTTGTGCTAAGCCAGGACGTAGCTAGACTTATCGTGGTGTCATTGATTGCTTAGTACTTGGCTAACTTTCCCTCTGACATACGACAGGTGAGACCACGGTGCACTTCAAGTATTACTCAAGTACTCTATCCACTGTTCCACAGCGCTCATAAAGGGAAACAGAGGGTTGACGGCTACACACTACCCTAGCCCTCTTTTCTACTTTCCCCATTGTCAGAATTACCTAATAGTATTCTGTCCCGGGTCAGGGCACAAATATATTTTAAACCCACAATCAACCAGACCACTTTCGTACACAACATCGCCTGACATCCACTTGGAGCAGTTTATAACTCATAGGTGTACCATGATTGTACTTTTAGAAGTTTGATTATATTCGTTTTGGCGAAGACGTAATCATTACTTTTGTGCTGTCAAAACTGCTTAGTTTGTTGAATGCCTGTCATCAAACTAATTAACTGGCTCAAGTTACCTGGAATCAGGTAAATAAATCAGGCATCTAAGGCCTTCCAAACGTATATCAACACCTATAAAGTATTGACAAATATTGTCATTAAAGTCGCACAATTTACTTTGCCAAATGGCCGTTCAAGTACAATGGTCATTCAAGGGACATTACCTAGGAATGACCTAGAACATGACCTAGAACAATGTCTAGGGACATGGTTCTGACTTTGGGAATAAATCACATCTGTTTCTCACATCAAACAATTTGTATCTCTCTTCTCTATCTGGATATCTCTTCTCCGCGAGAAATAATTACAGAAACAATGAACAAATGTAAATGTATTTGCTTTGTAAAATATCATTTGTATACTGTATGGTTTTGGAACTCCTTGGATCTCTTTAACAGACTGGGGAAGAAATAGCATAAGCTACTTTTATGTTTTTGAGATGTATTTTATAATCTCAAACTTACTTGAATGTGAATGAATCATTAATTGGATATCTAGTGCAACTTTTGATGGGTGGTTGGACACGAATTAGCAAGATGATTTTTATTTAGAGAGCATAAACGAGGAAAAGACTATATCACCACTTATCAGGTTGTTTGCATGCCCCCCTCCCAACCATGCATTTCAAATGTTTTTTCTTTAGAATTCCATATTTATGATCGAGGTTTGGGATTATCAAGCAAAGTAGGTTTGGTTCAGGTTGCTCTTTTATCAATATCTTAGAAATAGTCTTGTTATCTGTAAAGGTAACAAGAATTCCACAGCAATTCAAAACTGACAACCATATCAATGTACGAAGCGTGTTATTGTCGAGACCTGTTGATACCGAAGTATTTTCCGAGCATCGAAAGTTTTACGGATAACGAAAGGAAGTGGAATTGTACTTGTAGAAGGTATTGTTAATACTTGGTGTTTCTGGTATTGGAGCCCCAGGATGATAGCGCGAGTGTTAAGGACACAGACATTTGGAAAAAAAGGAAATGACATTTCCTTCGCATTGATCGTCAGGTACAGGGAAGGTTCAAGGTATCAACAAGATATCGTTTAGGCACTTTAGATTTCTTCTCTTATTGTGGACATCCATAACATTGTTGATACGACAACAGTCTCGTGCTTTTGAGACTAAGTTCGAATCTCTTGGTGATTCAAGTGCATAATCGTGAAAGTATTGTAAAGTTGTTGTTTTGTTTGTTGCAAAATTACGTTGTATTGTTGTTATAACAGCGTGTTATATTTTTCTGTTGTGATCTTGTTAGTGCATTACACTGAACTTCTTGTCAGTCACAGTCACCAACTCGTCCTAATATGGGACATCTGCTAAACTTTTCACTCCAAATCCTACTAAAGAAATCCTTTTTCGACAAACAGTTGTATAAACAAATGACAAATAATAAATGTACAAATATATTCGCAAGATTGTAACCTGTTTGGAGTATCACGTGTGAATATAAGTCAGGTTTAAATGCATCTTTATTATTGGTCTTTTTTTTCTCAAAGTTAAAATTCTTTGTTTAAGTATCGCTTTTTGGTAAAAAACGCAGACCACCATCTGGTGGACAATGCATACTTTGCTAGGCTAAATAAAATAAGAGAAACAATTCAATTAATGTATTTAAACATACAATAATGGATGGATGAACTCCATACATAGTCTGGAGACATTCATAATTTTTTTTATTATTTTATTGGTGTGGTTATTATTGCTGTTATTAAAGATTCTCTGGCGTGTAAATATTGTGCAATATTGCTCAATTACTGACATCATAAATTAAATATTGCTTCAATAAAATGATTTTGCAAGTTCTTGTTGCAATAGATCCTTGAATATACACACATGTTTTACAAACTGCTGAAGAACTTTCACTAAATAATCGTAAGTAACAATGAATAATAATATGTAGTCTTAGATAACTTTTAAATGTGTTTTACATATACTAAAATATGCAGTCATTAATTCGTCATGTTTGAAAAAATATATTTTGAAAAGCCAAATATCGAGCTACTAATGAAAACGTTAATTTTGATTTGGCTGAAGGTTCTCATTGAAAGTGCTCAATGCTGGTGGTCATTGTTGGTGCTCGATGTTGGTGGTCATTCTACTGGTGCTCACCGTGGAAGACCTTGACGTAAACTCTCTTAATATTGGGAGTCTCAAGGAAGACGCGATTGTCTGGGACTCTGCGGTCGACGGGGTAACCCATGGGCCGCTTGTCTGGGTACTTTTCTCCGTGAATGCCACACTGAGCATGCGTGGCGCCAAGCTCTTCAGGATTGTCTACGGTCTTATCCTCGTCGCCGTTGGTCACACCCACAAACAAGGCGAAGTCCATTCCCCTCTCCTTACCCTTAGGCAGGAGCAGTCTGTTGGGGATGCCACACGACCGTTCGAACTCGTGAAGGTCAAGTTTGCTGCCACTGGCTACGGCCGCGTCAGTTCTCTTCTTCAATTCTTCGAAGCTTAGTCTGTCAGGGACTGTTACTGAAGAGTCAACGGACTTGCGAACAACGTGGTTAGTTCCGGGAGCAACTGTAGGGAATAATATAAAAATTGCATGTTACATCTTGTAGCAGTTTTTGATGTAGTTAAAAGCATTTAATTAACAGGTTATTAATTAAAATATTGTTTTATTGTGCATGGACGATGCACAAGTTTCTCAAAATATAATATAATTAAATTACAATTCAAGGCAGGTTTTACTTACGTGATTTATAAAACTTGTCCATCTCAATGCAGTACCAGTGACCTTCTTCCCAGGTGAAGGTGACTCCATTGCTGTCCTTAAGAGGACACAAGAAGATGCGGATGGTTCCTAGTACTTTATTTCCATTATTGTTGCTGATGTCAATATTGTAAGAAAATTCTTCGTGGTTGAGGCGCTTTACATCAGCGGAGATGTCAACATCTGCCACGTTATCCGACTTGTCTACTGCATTAACAAGACTGAACTCGAAAGTATCAAAGAATGTCTTGAGTTCTCCATCAATGGCAACACTGTCCACGACCACGCCGGGGAACTCTATGTCCGATTTGGTGTAAGGAGGAAGACTGTCTTTGTGTTCCTTGAAAAGGTTGTCCATGTATTTGTGAAGTCTAAAGAAGCTTGGGTCACGGGTCGCGGTCTCGAAGTGTTCCATGACACCTGGAGGCATGTCGAACTTGCCGTGAGGATCACCTTGGCGACCAAGCATTATGTGAGCTGTGTTGTGCAGGGCTCCGTAATATTGCGCATTGGGGCTGTACACTGAAGATTCAATGATGTCTCCTAGTAGGTCGATGCCGTGCTCGTTTCTGATGTCAATATGGTTTCCGCTTTTGTCGGTGATGTAGCCAAGAGCAATGGCGTCGCGAATGCGGCTCTCTAAGATAACCATGTCACGCACTCTAGCTACACCATCAACGTCTTCGAAGTGAACGTTGTCAGGACGAGCTGGGAACTCTCCGCCATACTTGTAGCTGGTATGTGGAGCAAATCCTTCGTGAATAACCTTTTCCCAGTGTATTTCATCAACAACATCCAGCCAGTTGGAGAGGCGCTCAGAGTCAAAGCGAGCAGTAAGTTGGTGGTGAACCCAGAAGAAGAGCTCTCCCTTGCGGTCCAGGTGGTAGCCGTAGGAGTCCTTCCACCAGAAGGGGAAGTCCATATGCCAAGTAACGTGGTGAATGTTCATGCCAATATCCTCGCCGAAGTATGCCACTCGCTGTTCCTTGTTCTTCTTTGTTCCAGTGAAATCCATGTGGAATTTGCCTGGTGTCTGGGTCATCTTGGCTGAGTAAGCCTTGTTGATGATCTCACTGTTGGTGAACAGGTGAGGAGTGACTTCGTAGAGTGGAGGAAGTACAATGCCATGTCCCAGATCTGAGTGGATGACAGCCACATAGAGTGCGTACACAAACTCTCCTTCATTCACGCGCTCACGGAAGTAAGCAGCGTTGTCAAGGAAGCCCTCCCACGTTCTGCAGTGAATCAGAACTTCAAAGAGTAGGAGAGCTTCTTCACGTTGGCGTGTATTAAAAAGTGAGAACCAGTGGTGCTGCTCCAACAGCCTGCCGTCTTTGAGCTCCTCCAGAAGCGCATGGACGGCTGCGCCATCATCAGTGTAGAGGGAGGTGTCAGCCTCAGGGGAGAAGGTCCCTGCGAGATCCTTCAGGTCTTTATAGTGAAGGTGGTCATAGACGTGCTCCAGCAGGTGGTTTACATCTTGCTGTTTCTTGGCTAAGGGCGTACCTGGAGAAAATAAATGGTCGTTGTTTATTACATGCAAGTTTATGAAATATTTGTCCTGAAGAAGACAATTTGCTCGGAGAAACTGACTGAATGTATCTTTATAACAGAATTATCAAATTGACAACTAACAAAATTTACTAACAAGTTGCTAGCACTGTCACGTCCACCACGTTAGGCGAATATCAAAATGATCCCGAATGTTTAATTACTTGAAGTAATATTCTAAGTATATATCCATTCAATATTCAGATTGCCTCAGCTTGTACATGTAATTCTGAAATTAACTGTATATTTTCAATTTCCATCGTTTTAGGATCAGTACGTAATAAATTCATTCTGAAGATACACGAGCCAATTGTTGAACATAATGGTAGCGTTGCTGAGGACCCAGCACATCCTCCAATAATGATATAATTAAAGTACGTAAAGCAAATATTTGGTAAAATGTACAGCAATGGACTGTAGTAACCAACAAATTTCAGGTTCTCTACTATTAATCTTATTGAGGGCACAAGAAAAACCCCAAACCAAACCTGAAGTTTGTAATGTCTACTGAAATACACATTGAACACAGATGTGTTCAATTAGGCCTATGATTGCACAAATAACTTCTAGGATTTTTATTTTTAGCCTAGTACAGGTGAGATTTGATTATTTAGTTACAGGTTCATTATTAATGCAATTTGGGGTAATCAAACGTTCAAAAAGTTTTTGGGCCTAATATTGCATTTTCGTATGTTTGAATCTTTTTAGCTATGAGTACTGTCATTTTTAGAGGATTGGTTGCTAGGACCATAAGTGTCCTCTCCAGGGACTATATGACGAGAGTCCTCTCCAAGACCATGTGGTCCCTGGAGAGGACACCTGTCATATGACAAGTGTCCTCTTCAAGGATCATATGACAAGTGTCCTCTCCAGGGACCATATGACAGGTGTCCTCTCCAGGGACCATATTACAGGTGTCCTCTCCGAGGACTATATGACAAGGGTTTTCTCCAGGAAATACATGAGAAGTGTCCTTTTTCGAGGACTATAACAACAAGTGTCCTTTTTCGAGGACTATATGACAAGTGTCCTTTTTCGAGGACTATATGACAAGTGTCCTTTTTCGAGGACTATATGACAAGTGTCCTTTTTCGAGGACTATATGACAAGTGTCCTTTTTCGAGGACTATATGACAAGTGTCCACTCGAAAGACCATATGACAAGTGTCCTCTCCGGGGAACTATATGACCAGTGACCTCAGGTACCATTATAATACGAGGCATCACAGACTACTTCATGACAAGTGGAGTTACTGACTACCACATAACATGTTATCGCACGACGACCGGTGATGTTTCAGACCAAAGGGAATTATTTTGCGGCATGTATTGAGTGGTCAGAGAAACACTGAAAATTAATGGCTTTAAAACAGCATTCTAAATACAACTGCGCAGCGCACTGCTGTGCACTATGAGGTAACAGCGCCATGAGCTCTGTGGAGTTAACAGCTGGTATATGCGCTCTACACCTGTTGGAAATTTTAGTTTGCTCTCGCCTTTCGGTAATTTTCCTGAATATTTCTCACACGCTGTACTGGGTACCAAAAGTCCAAGTCGGGAGATGAAACTGTTAAACTCTGATTTTTCAGTCGGTGAAGGTGATCAGTTCTACGACTGGTAGAACTGATTATAAACTGGCAGAAGCGCATCATAAACAAGAACTTAAAAGACACGTCTCATACATTATCACCGTTTGAAAGTTCGGAAGAATGTCACTTAAAGTGGTCACTAATGAGTAAAATTAATAAAGAAAACTCCATATAACTATTCGATCAATAACGAGGTGATGGTAGTGAGGAAAATACTATAACCAATTAGGTCAGTAAATGGGTGGTTACAAGCGTGCACATCACGAATAAGGAAGATAGGAAAGGAAATGAAAGAGATAACAAAAAACAAAATACATTATACAGAATATTTAACCTTGAAAACCAAAATTCTAAATATTTTTTGTTGTTAAAGTATGTGAACGGCTTATGTTCATGGGGGTTCATGTACGAAAATGGGGTTTGTTGTGAGGTTCAGAGTCTAAAGTAAGATTAACAACAGTAAGATTTGAACTCACCCGGGGTGTCACTCTGGTAGCCATCCAGATCGAAGCTTGGCCAGGCGGCAGCCGCCACTACCAGTGAACACAAGACCAGGAGCTTCATGGTGACGAGTGGTGGTGAGTGGTGATTGTGGCGGCCTTATATACCCCCTGATGCCACCGCGCCCGCTTAGCAACGACGATCCTTTTTCCACACCTCTCATACTTGTAATCTTTTACTCTTTACAACACTATCTTATATCTGGAATACGTGTTTAAAGGAATAGGAAATGTGTTTCTTGAATTCAACCAAGTTAATTTTGATTACTGTGTTACATATATATTATTGGTAGCTAAAACGTAACTAATATAATGTCAGTTTTTCTGTCTGAGGCTAGAAGCCTCAGACAGATGCTTTTGGTTAGTTTCATTAAACTTTGCAGGGTGACTGAGTGTAGAAGGACTGTCACAGGCATGTGATTCGACCCCCATGTCCCTTTCACGAAGTCGGTGTGAATAAAACACATTTGATATTAATATTTTAGAATTTAGGTATTGACATACAAAATGCATATTCTGAATTGCAGATTGCATATTTAACTATTCTCTCTCTCTCTGTATATTCGAACAAGCTTGAAAGGTCCCCAAACCAATATGCAACTGAAAACTCCACACCCCAGAAGGATTCGAACCCAGACAGCCAAAACCACTGTGCACCTTGGCGTACCTGGTTCCTTAACCGCTTGACCACACTGGCTGTCCAAAAAATGTAGGAAGTCGTGAGACTTATGTCCCCAACATCCGACAGCGCTCGGCGGTAAACTTGGGCATAGATATTTCATGGAATCACCTCACTTGGTGGGGCCACGTGAGCAACACATATCCAAGTGATGAAATCTCTATGTCCAAGTTAACCCATTGACCGCTGACGGATGTGGAATAGTCTCACGACTTCCAACATTTTTTGTACAGTAGAGTAATGGGAAGGGAGGTGATGGTGGAAGGAGTAGTGATGTAGTGGGAGGAAGGGGGGGGAGGGTAGTGAGCTTGAGGAAGGGAGGGAGGCGGGGAAGGAATATGGGTAAGGGAAACGGGGAAGGAATATGGGTAAGGGAGGCGGGGAAGCAATATGGGTAAGGGAAGCGGGGAAGGAATATGGGTAAGGGAGGTGGTTGGTAGAGGACTGTGTTGTATTACTGGTCAAGATGTGCATCTAACTGATCGATGTAGATGTTGGGTAAAATAGCCAAAATTGCCTAACAAGCCGATTTTTTTGTTTAATATTAATGTATTTTTGTTTATTTCTCTTATGCAATGATAAAGTTTTTCAAAATATATCACATAAATTTATTTGAGTCAAACTTTAAACACCTAATCCGACCTAAATATTCAAATTACCTCGTAATACTTCCTAATATATGTAGAACTTAAGCTAGAAATTCTTGTTAATATAACATGATAGCCCATCAAACAAGGCTAGTTTGACCTAAGCAGTTCACTTCAACGCCAGGAGTCATATCACACACTAAGGAGAGGTGCTTCTCTAACCTCAAATCACGGCAGTTAAGTCTGTGTTAATTACACGATTTACGATCTGTATAAACACTACGAGATCGCGACAAATCAAGGTCAGTATTGTGGACTACCTCATAGTGCTTGGGAGTCCTTTGGTATAGGGTCGTTCTAGACGTTGAAGCTATAATTTAAGCTATGAAAAGCTATAAGGTTGAAGCTAAAGCTAAAAGGTTGAAGCTATAAAAAATAAGCTATAATGCTTATTTTTACCTGTTGATATTATTATTATTGTCTTTTTGGCACTACAAATAACCATTATATATGATATATTAAACGTGATTGTGATTCTTGCGTAATGTTGGAATTGGTTACATATTAATATGCTGTAATTAAAGATGTGCTGGAGGGAGGGAGTTATCAGGGGGAAAGCGCCAAACCATTACGACTCTTATTGCACTTGGATAACGATTTGGGATGGGACGGGGGAAAGGAATGGTGCTCAACCACTTGGATGGTCGGGGGATTGAACGCCGACCTGCATGATGTGAGACCGTCGCTCTATCGTCCACCCCCAAGTGGTTGGGCTGGAGATGGAGCTTATTATTCGCATAGTTACGTGGTATTATTATTATTATTATTATTATTATTATTATTTTTTGTCGATTTTCTTGTTCATTTTTGTCATTTTATGCTGCTTTAATGTAAGTAAAATTGCATAAGAAGATGTTTGTGTTCTTCTTCAAATTAATTCTTATGACCAAACAAATTTCTCAGTGTGGTTTAACTTACACATAAACACAGATGTAGATTTTAAGTTAACGATAATAATTTTCGAATATATATTATTGATGGGCTATGACTGTGAGTGTGCAGTCATGACCGGGAGATTGTAGCATGTTATGTCTTATGGAAAACATTTAAATCAACAAGATTCGAAAGATAAATGTAAATGTTATTGTATCATAAAACAATTATTTCTGGGCTACTGCTCCTCAATACAAGCCTAGAAAATATTGAGTATATTGAGCAGAACATTAAACTGAAAGCAATGCAATGCACAGTAATGGGGAAGCAATGGGGTACTGCACAGGGTGTAGTGCCCCATTCATTTGTTTTTCAGTCATTCGTAGACGAGTATCCAGCTGCAAACGTTTTAACGATGCAGAGACATGATTGTACCTAACAGTGATAGTTGGGATATTTAGTCAGTTGCAAGGTCTCTGTAAGACACTTGCAAGATTGCAGATTCTTGTGTGTTTGTATCTCACCTGCTTGAATGCACCGTGGGAATACTGACACACACACACGCACACACATACACACACACACACACACACACGCACACACATACACACACACACACACACATACACACTTGCTACGTCCTCTCAGTTGATTGACAGTTGAGAGGCGGGACCAAAGATCCAGAGCTCAACCCCTGCGAGCACAACTGGGTGTTACACACAGAAAGATTTCTTCTTGCAGGCCTATCTTCATGACCGTGGCTCCTGAAGCCCATCTTCTAGCAATACAGCAGCAGTCAGAGTTTCATCCTCTAGGGGTTTTCCTTAAGCTACAGGGCCCCTGTTTCCTCCGGTTTGCATTTCCATGTTAAGGAGCAGAATCGAGACTGATATAACCAAACGCTAAATGAACAATTTGTTTACACGGCTTCAGTGACCCCGTTGCTACGATACCAGGGGAAATGATAGTTGAATTATGCACGTATATCTACACATACTTACAAAAGAAAAAAATACGCATATCTAGACAAAAACCTACACAAATGCGCACACACATTATCGAGTCGATCGCAAGACACTTCTTGAAGTGTTTACGTCTGCAGGAAGATATCAGAGCCCCTTCACCCTTCTCTCCCTCGTCCCCTCCACCACCACCACCACCGTCGCCGTGTCGCCGGTGGCTACGTGCTTCGCTGGACATAGGCAGGAGATAACAGAGGTGGACACATACCTGAGAAGCACCACTAGTCTATCGCCTGTCACCACCCTCCTCCTTCAAGGCGGGAGACGCCCCCACCAAGATTATCTCTCTACCTCTATATCACACTAGCGAGGAAAGGAAGAGGGGAACATAAATAGATGGTTCCCTTGCTTATGTTGAAAGTCCAGCATCTCTTCGTCTACGGGATCATGACCACAAGTTAAGGTTACGTTATAAATATATAACAATTAGTTATATTATACTTGAGGGGTACTTGACGTTGCCCTGATTTGTTCGTCGGTCTGTCCGTCACTCCATCCGTCCATATATTGATCTATCCATGTATCTGTTCCCTCATTCCCAACGTCCTCCTCCCAGAAAATATATTATTAAGAACCACTGAAACAACTGAATGGGAATAAGAAATTATATTATTGTTACAAAATTCCCTATCAATCACCCGTTATATTTCACATCTGACTCCATATTTGTCCTTGGACACTGACACATTCTCTCTAATAGATATATATTATACATTATTCTAAATGGATGTACCTGGAGTTTGGATCGACTTGGCTTTATTTTAAACAAATGAGAAACAACTAGGTCTGACGGCTGAGTGGACAGCGCTCTGGATAAGTAGTAATTAGGTTACGGGATCGATCCCCGGCGGATCGATAATTCTTAATTATACCCGAGGAGGCTACCGGCGATGCTCGGGTCTCTGTCCTTTTATCTCTCCCTACCTCCTTCCCATTCTCCCTCCGTCTCTCCCGTTTTCTGTCCTTATAATCTTCCCGTTCTCTCTCCCTGAAGTCAAAACATCCTCGAATTAAGTAGACTCAACTTTATCGATGCTGAATCAACGTTGAATCAACAATGATGAATCAACGTTGAATCAACATTATCGACGATGAATCAACATTGAATCAACATTATCGATGATAAATCAAAGTTGAATCAACATTACCAATGATGAATCAATGTTGAATCAACATTACCAATGATGAATCAATGTTGAATCAACATTATCAATGATGAATCAATGTTGAATCAACATTATCAATGATGAATCAACGTTGAATCAACATTATCAATGATGAATCAACGTTGAATCAGCGTTATCGACCTTTAAATAAACGTTGATAAATAAATCAATATTTAAATAAACGAAGGGCCAGAGACGTTAGAAAACACTCTATGGATAACCAAGCCATATTTCAGACTTCAAAGACCTTCTTGATTGTTACAATAGAAGCCAATCCTACTTAATGGAAAGCATTGGGGGAGGGGGGGGGGGGTCGACCCTCCTAACCACCGCATGACTCTTGCAATACAGTCACAAATCACATTGCAAAGTTCGTTCAAGCGTCTGGATGTTACTGTATTTTACACAGTTCTGTATTGTATTATTTTGTTATGGAGAAAGAACAAGTACTCAGGTATATCCAGTGAATTTCATGAAGTTCTGAAATTGTCGTTAAAAATTCCATATTATTACGAATCGAATATTAAAAAACAAAAAAAAAATTGGCGAGATTTTTGTAGAGGTTCGAACCGGTTCCAGACTCGCCACCTGAGATTTTGCCATATGAGCCGACCCCCCGACCAGCCTATGTTGGGAATGTACCCAATCAATCAATCACTGTGGACAGTTAGATGAAGCTAACCCCAATGGTCTGGCCTCAAACCTCGAACAGACAGACATTAAATATTATAGATCTATATATGTT